AAGAAACATAATAAGGCAATAGAACAAAAAGATACCTCTGGCTGCTGGATGGAGGATGGATCAGAGGGGTCAAGAAAAGGGAAACAGGTTATCACAGTTGCCCAGAAATTAAAGATGACAGTGGCTTGGATTAGAGTAGTGGATGTGGAGATGGAAAAAAAAGAAGCGTATGGATTTGGGATATATTTTAGAGGCGGAAATGATAGGACATTTGCCAGTGAATTAGAGATGGGCGATGAGTGAGTAGATGAGAAGTCAGGGATGACCTCCAGGTGTCTGGCTGGAGCAGTTGGCTGGACAGTGGGCCATTTTCCAGATGGGCTTGTTCCGTTCAGAAAGAACCAGTGACTTGGATGAAGGCAGACTCAAGATAGGAAGCTGGATGAGGTAGTTGATACATAAGTAAAAAGGATCAACAATCTAAAAAATATCACAAGACTGGAAAGATAAAAGGTAATGAAAATAAGTGCAGAGCCTTATACTTGGCTTAAAAAAAAAAAAAAGAAGTGCACAGGATGGAACCAGGAAGACTGGCCTAACAGCAGTTCCCCCAGAAGCTCAACAAGAATGAAAAGTGTGACTTGCTTCCATAAAAATGAAAACAAAAATAGTTTGCCTTAAAAGAAGCATGATGACTCCTGGGCATATACCCAGAGAAAACTGTAGTTCAGAAAGACACATGCACCCCAATGTTCATTGCAGCACTGTTTACAGTAGCCAGGTCACGGAAGCAACCTAAATGCCCATCAACAGACGAATGGATAAAGAAGATGTGGTACATATATACAATGGAATATTACTCAGCCATAAAAAGGAACGAAACTGGGTCATTTGTAGAGACGTGGATGGACATAGAGGCTGTCATACAGAGTGAAATAAGTCAGAAAGAGAAAAATAAATATCGTATATTAACGCATATATGTGGAATCTAGAAAAATGGTACAGATGAACCTGTTTGCAAGGCAGAAATAGAGACACAGATGCAGAGAACAAACATATGGACACCAAGTGGGGAAAGCAGGGGTAGGGGAGTGGGGTGGAATGAATTGGGAGATTGGGATTGACATATATACACTAATATGTATAAAATAGAAAACTAATAACTAATAGATAACTAACCTGCTGTATAAAAAAGCAAAAAAAAAAAAAAAGACATACAGATGGCCAATAGGCACATGAAAAGATGCTCAACATTACTAATGAATTAAAAAAAAAAGCAGGATGTCCAACTCGAGTTAATAATCTTACTGTGCCTTGCACTGTCTGGATCAAAACTAATGTGAGAGCATCGTGCTTTTCTTGGCACACAGCCGTTAAAAAGGATGGATGAGAAACTGGACCACGACTGAGCTGTAAACAGCTGAACACTCCATTGCAGGATGAACAGCTGAAAGTACTGGAGAAGTTAAGGTCAAAGAGCACCGTCTTAAAATGAGCACCGTCAGATGGACCTTTAGGTGGAAGAGGGGTTAGATTTCAGGTAGATTCAAGTAGGTCCAGAGGGTAAAATAAGGCCCCAAGATAAACATAGCAGCAGAAGTTTCAGCTCAGCCTCAGTTCCAGTGCACGCAGCACTTTCCAGAAGCAGAATGGGTTGCATATGTGTCCCCTGACAGAAGACTTTGCAGACCTGGATGCCTGTGTGTTGGCACAGAGCATAGAGCTTTCCCATCCTGCCTGAAAAGCTGGGCAGGGTAGTCTCTGAAGGTCTCTCCCCAGTCCAGGAGTTTAGAATTCTGTTTCCTAACCAGCCTCTTTCTTCTCAGGGAACACAAAATCTACTGGAATGTCCCTGCACCACGTTTTTCAAAGTATCGCTGACACATGAGGGTTCGCGAGACTAACTCTCCCGCCACTGCTTCCCCAGGGCTCGTGTTCAGTCATACGTTCTAGGTCCCCTTCTCTTCAAGGCTGAACATCAGTCTGAACTATTAATACCTTGACAACTCAGTTGCCTGTTGTTGAGGTTTGGTTCCCGCTGAAACATGCCTTTTTCAGCAAGCAGCTTTTGCCCCAACCATATGAAAACTTTTGGTCAATGGTTAGCGGTGTGAAAGCTTACATGATACCCAGATGAAATGAAAAAAATGAATCACTTCTCTTCCTCTTAGCACAGCAATACCAGTTTATGTTTCTCCTCCAGGAAACCAAACTATATGTACAGATATTTACTTGGGTAAATAGGGGCACAGTCATGCTCAAAATAGAAGAAATGTTCAAATAAGTCCTTAGTCTCACGAGTCACTCTCCCTGCTCTTTTAGATGTCAGCTCCGACTGGATCCTCTTAAACTATTCTAGGATCTGTGATAACCAATTCGATATTTTATTGCTTCTTTCTAAGAATCTAAATAGGGAGATACACTTTTCTAAATTTTAATTCCATTAATGCTAGATTCTGTTATAGGCTAAAGCAGTGATAGAATTTTACATACAGAAGTTGCCTTATGGTGACCTGATAGAAAAAGGTTTTTGCTTTATATTAGTTTTCAGTCTTGGAAGGGAAGGTCTATATGTTGGGAGGGATGGAGAAAAGGGTCTCCAGGGATTGGCTGTCAGACTTACTATGGGTCGTTTGGCCGGGGATGCGGTGTGATGTCTCCCAGACATGAGAGCAAGGGGCTTGTCATCGCTGTGGAAGGATCTCATTCTGCTGTTGTTAAGTTTGGGGAAGAAGATAGGTGAGCTCCCTGCTAAAATCTTCCCTGATCAACACTTTTCTCCCTCTCTTGGAAAAGAAAAAGAGGTGATACGAGTTTATGAAGAAATCCTTTCTCTTTGGCCGAGGGCCACAGGCCAGCTGAGCATCATCTACAGAGAAGTCCACCCAAAAGAATGGCTCAGGGCCGCTATGTGCAAGAACATGTGGTCCCAGGGCTACCAGCTGGGGGAACAGATGTTTCCGTAGAATGTTTCTTTTGCTACTGAGGACCCAGTTCTCCCTGGCTGAGGGCCTTTGGTTACCCATTAGGTAGATGTTAGTAATTATCCCTCCTACAACGTACATATTTCGAAAGGTCATACTCTTTACTCATTAGCCTGGGGCCCAGTGGTAATATGTCCTCCTCTCCCCAGGTCAGTCCCAGGAGAGTCAATTCAACAGAGGACAGGGTCACTTCAGAAGAGCCCATGGCTAATCCTCAAATTGCATCCATTCTACCCCCAGTTGGTAGCCCAGGATCTTCTGTGCCACAGAAATCCCCTGTGGCCTGTCACAGGCGCTTGTGGAAATTGCCACTTAGGGTTCAGTATCGACATGAGTGAACTCTGAGTGAAACTCAAGGCTTGCTTCCTTAACATAAATATTATCTTATAAGATGAAGGAAAAATCATACCACAGATGTGTCCTGTCTCTTACTCTCCAGCAGAGCATAGCAAATCATGTTCCGTTACAGATCTCAAAACTGCTGGATTGCTTAATAAATGCTTGCTCTCAGTTTTTCGTGTCCCTTAGCCAGAATAGGTAATAAGGGACTTACCCTCTCACTCACCCTCTTACTCAGGGATCTGAGTCAATATATGTCCGAATGTATTTCCTTACAATCGTATCTTAACCTAAATTCCCCTTTATTAGCCGGTCAGTTGGACCTTCACCTGAAGTGTTAGATTTTCCATTCTTTCTCCCATAGATTTTCCATTCTTTCTCCCAGTGTTTGTTTTACCTCTGCCGAGCCCTGTCACTCTTTCATGGTTTCTGGCCAGTCTCTGGCAGTCCGTCTGCTCTGCCCTTGGCTGTCTGTACTCCCCCGTTTATTTCCTCATGGTTGAAACAGAGGAGAAACAAAATGCCGCGAGACAAGAGAAAGCTAAGAAGCAGTGTTTCTGCCTGGGGCAAGGGAAGGGACCTGAGGAAGTGACATCTGAGCAGTGGTTCAGC